TATATATATATATATATATATATATATATATATATATATATATATATCTCTCTGCCCCTGTTATTTGAGCATGTGTCTCATTGGCGAGGGAATAAACGACGGAAAGGTGGTCATGCTCCCTTCTCAAATGACGACGACAAAGTGTGGAGAGCATGGCATTGGTCTGTGGATTGTATTTTAAAAACTATACGCGTGCCATGATATATTGTTCAATACGTTTTCTTACAATTTTTTGTGAACAATGGTGATCACGACATTAATGAATGACAGATGGAAATGAGTTACAATGCACATGCGCTATGGAGATGGTCCTCAAGTACGCAAAGGAAGGCATTGATTACACAACATAAACAGAGTTCAGCGAATTGCGAAATTGTATACCATCATATTTCGATGTGTGCATTGACCGCGACATGACATTTGCACAGCATGCTCATCACATCTCTCATGCGCTTGTTTTTTGGGAGAAACTAAGCAATGAGAATTTGGAAACAGAGATTGTTCGAACAGACTATGAGGAAAACATTGTAAGTTATAAGTGTGATGACCTGGCCGATTGGTTGTACAAGCAGGTCAAAATGGACAAGTCGAAATCACGGACATCCGGAGTATATGACAAACGCACTTGGAAGGGGGATATGAAAAGGAAAGTCTTAGCTCACGGATATTTATTATCTCATCGTTGTGACGTTCTTAGACCTAGATTAGAAAAGTTGCTTGCACTTCTTCACTTGCGTAGTGTTGTTGAGAAAGAGAACATGCAATCTGTGTGCGAGTTGCCACGTGTGGTTGCAAATGGTGGTGAGTACGTGATGTTGTCGCAATGGACTAATTTGTGTCCATTATCGAGTCGTGGTCACATGACTTTTAGTTATTTGGCTAGTATTGTTGATATATTAGAAGGAGTCAAAGAGTTGTTGGAATACAATGCGATTGAATCTTCACATTCACAGTCTCTAACGGACAAGGCTATTGTGAAGTCCTTGGAGGTTCTTGCAAACTCCGGATCGAATGAAGTACCACAAATTTTGAGAGAGTGTTGGGATCTAATGGCTGCAGAATGCAGCGCAAGGGATGAAACATTGAAATTGACATCCAACGAAGGAGCAGGTAACACGGTCGTGGGAAACAGTGGAAAGACAACCCCTCTAACATGTATGAATTTTGCTTTGAATTACAAATATCAAGGTCCAAAGGCAATGAGATTTGGTGAAAGTGAGAATGAGGAAGAGGGTTGTGATGACAAAATGGACGACGATGACAATAATTTTAGCCTGCGAAAATTTTGGGACAATCACGCGGACTGTTCATGTGATCCGCAAAAAGGATGGTGTCTCGCAGTTCTTCGTCTCGCGTTGATACGTGAAGAATGTCCATCAGCAATTCTGACTTTTTGTACGGACATTACAACAAACGGACACTTACAGTATGATTTTTTTGTCGAGACTTTCTTATTTGTATCCAAAAGGCAAAGATATTTCGAAAGGTGGAAAAAGTTGGCAAGTGTTAGTCAATAGAGAAATGGCGATTACCGCATCAGAGAGTTTCGACGGCGGGGCAGGTTTTCTCACAAAGGTAGAGTTAAATCTTTGTCATGGTTACAAAGACAGAACAGAGAGTGATGGCGTTATGTCGTGGATGCAGATTACGAATCCTGTGGTGAAGGAAGGTTTGGCGAGCAAGGGAAAAGAGAGCGGTGTACCAGTTAAGGGTAAGAGAAAGGCAAGTAGTGCTTGCGAATAGGATTGAAATAACCATTCTTCCGTATGAAGGAATTTGTTTTTTTTTTCCGCAATCCTGATTTTTTATTATGCGATAGACCAACATATTTTGTGTGGTGTGAGGACACATTGAAAATGTGTTTGATTTTTAAGCAGGGGTGTATTTCGTATATAATTTAATGTATGAATGACTTTTTTTTGGTTTTTCAATTTGGAAGTAGAAGTAATTTCATGCAAATCTTAAAACATAACAATGCATGAATTGCATAAAAAATATTGTGAATTCGTCCTATTGTCACACACGTGAAGAATAAATGATCGTCCCTCGTGAATAAAGTAAACAATTAAAATGTGACGGTCAATTTCATGTTTGTTGCATCAATGATGCAGTTCTATTTCAGGTAGATAACTGTGGCGCATTCTTCATCATATTATATGCAAATGTCGAGGTACAACAGGAATAATGTGTCGTGCTACAATTGAGGCCGCATGTTCAGTCGTACAAACATAATGGAGTCGCACAGATCGAGGGGGTGCTTAGCTGAGATACAACTTATTGGAAGTAATGGTGATGGTAACGACATGGGTTCAGAGAACGAACAAAATGATAATGCAGTGAATATGGACATGCACGAGAATGTCAAACCAATCGTTGATGGCATTGCAGAAGATGCAAAGAACATTGACGAAAATAAATATCCATCGGATTATCGTCTCGCTGCAGTGATATGTTTTGTGAGAGGAGGGTTGGGATTGTCAGATTCAGATGTGAATGTCTTGCTCTCCATTATATGTCACCCTTTTTTCGATGTTAGTCGACTACCATATAAAAATTCTTGCACGTTAAAATTTTGGTTACGTGGTAAACATGCAGACAAATTTTGGGAACATATTGATATGAGGACAGATGATTGGCCTGCAGAAGCGAAGGCTCCACTTTGGGTGCGAAAATGAGATGTCGCATTCGAGACTGCGATTCGAGACGCAATGATGAACGACTCTAATTATACACTAGAGGCAGACGCAACATATGATGAAGAAAACATGGTGTTCACGAATGCAAAATCGGCACAGTTTTCGAGAGAAGCACATGACATAGTTCGAAATGACAAAGAATTAGATCGAAATGGACGCGTAAGATATGTTCTGTCATTTACGTTGTATTCCGACAAAATTAATGTAGACGGTCGCATGAAAACAAGTACGTATCTTGTGATGTTGTCACTCGCGGATAAGCCAGAACGAGCAACTTTGCTCGCATACTTGTCAATTCTTCAGACTTTGTCGCACACATGAGGTTGAACTCATAGTTCATCTGCATTTGTTCGCCGTAAAAGGCGTGTATTCCATGATAGTCTGACTATTATATTGAAGGATACAAAAAAGGTCTCTCCTGACGATGTGGAACTTAACCTCTCACGATACGGGGAAGCTACAGTACCTCCGTTGCTGTTGATCTATGTGTAAGATCATCTAGAGAGATGTCTTCTGGCACTTGTAAAGAACGACAGATGTCCTAATTGCATCGTATCGAGCGAGAACTTACATGAACATAAGGACTGCAGCATGATTGTACGGACTGAAAACGTGGATCGTGATATATTACAGGGAGTTCGTGATGGTTCTGAGGCTGACGCTCGTGTGGCAGCCACGAAAAGAGCGTTGGATTGGGGGATGCATAGTGACGATTTAGTAAATGGTTTGTGGGGTTTTTATTAAGGTCCTTGCAGTGACATTCTAATGTTAGATTACCATTATGCACTGCAACCTGACCGAATGCACACAGTAGATCACGATATTTTTGAATATATTGTAGAAGTTTTGAAGAATATATGCAAATCATTCCAGAACACCGTTGGAATGCTTGAAGAGTTCGATGGTCGTTTAAAGCGCGTAAGTAATAGAGGGAATGCCACGTTTCAAAAGCGTATATTACCAGTAACAACGGGGGTAGACTATTTCACACGCGAGGGACGGTTTGAAGCTAAGCAAAATCGTGTTGTGATGATTGTCTTGTTGTTCATTGTGCACAACTTCCTAGACAATGCAGAGGGACATGACTTTGTGAAGTGGTGTGACATGTTTCTCGAATACTACGTAAGCATGTTTCGCGTTGTTAAACACACAAAACATTCCTTAGACAGATGTGACGCTTTCCTCGAAGAGTTTATGACTTATACAAATATGCGTTTCAGACACCTGCAGAAGTCAAATTGGAACAGAGTAAAAATGCATGATATGAATAAATTCAAGATGGTTGTAGAGCGATCAGGGCTCCCGAACACTTTTGCAGCGGACATTTGGGAGCACAATCACATTCGTTTTTGTAAAGATCCTTATAAAGCATCAAATCAAAGAGATCCTTCAAAGCAAATGGTGGAGCACGTTGTACGAGCAAATATTTTGGAAGAACACGTATCCGTTGTAAGAAGGAAAAGAAACAGAGAGAATGAAAATTGGTCAGCGGTCTTGGAGGCAGAGAAAATAGGTCATAATGTAATTGCCACAACCGACGAGTGAGATAGCATGTGCTATGAAATTTCACTGATGACAAATTTTGCATGTGCTATGTTATGTGTCTCGTGCTTCATCACAGAACCGGCGAGTGATATAGAGCGACACAATGAAGTCGCCAATGGACAAGCACACATTACGGACTCGTCGAGGCCCAGATGTGCCAAGGACATCGACGCAACGAAGACTCTGCGTTCGCGAAGAAGGGGTGTCACGACATCAGACGAATGTTGGTGCACGTCTCGTAAAGGAATGAAACACAATTCGAGATATCACACGACATGCAAAATCTGAAGAAGTGAAGACTGTACGAACAAAAACGAAGCCTTGGAGGACAAATTTGGTCGAAATGCACCACGAAGCAAGCAAACCGAAATTACAGATGGAAGAAACGGAGAAAGGAGATAACGACATTGACATCTGGCGCAGGAGGAGTCTTCGAAGTATACTCCGAAGTCGAAGACGGTACGAAGGAAAACAGTGGGTAGTGCAACACCTCTTGCTCCAACTAAGCATGTCACAGAAAACAAACGGGACCACAACAAGGGTAAAGCGACTGATGTGGACAGTGCACAAGTAGGAGGAAGCGGTGAGGATATCGAAGGAAGCATGTGTTGTGGTCGCCAGGTGGGCGAGAGCAGTGGAGGCAGACACATTGGAGGTCGTGACATTCAGTACAGGGAGCGGCATGTGGAACAACAAGGTCGACAAGCATCATCGACAAAGTGCGAGGACCGGCAGCTGGAGCAAAACGAACCAAATATGGAAGAGGACGAATCAGAGGACGGGAACAACAGAGACAGCGATGATTTTGGTGAACGTGAATCGAATGAAGATGAGGATGATGATAATGAAGAGATTTGTGAGGACGGTGACGAGAATGACGCACATTGCAAGAACGAGAAAGCAATAGGTAAAACATTTTGTGAAATCTTGTTAAGTTGTTTGTAGCATTAAGAAAATATGGAAGAAAAAGATAACAACATTCAAAATGATTCTCGTATATGCATTCTCGCTTACGATTTGTACGTTCCTAACGAACAACTAAAAGTCATCCTCATTATAATTGTATTCTCAATTTTTATTTTTCTCTTTGTCTGCTCGTCCTCGGTGTTTGTGCAGTTATGCGAGGACACGAAAAACGGGATGCGTCAGAGAAAAGCAAGGTCAACAACCGCATTAGTGACAACATTCACACGTTATACGCGCACTCCAAAATAGTGAAGCAATTGATGCGTTGCGTAGCGAAGACCTTTTGTTTATCTCGAGCCAAGGATGCAGAGATGTGTCCGTCAGTCGACATGCATGTGGATGCCTTCATGGGTCTCACCGAATCTTTGGACCTGGATACACGATTCATCGTAGATCGGTCGATGAAGAGCACAACACCGACAACACTTCGCACACAGGGATCAAAAGAGTTGACGAACATCAGAGGAGAGATCGCTTACGACATCGTCAGGGCTTTTTGGAGCGCCACGTGGTTGCCTTATCCATGCGAAACTGTAAGAGATCGTTTTGAAAAAGAGAAAGAGGAGATGAAGACGAAAATGGTCCAAGATTCATCATGGAGAGTGAGAGGCGAAGAGCCATGGGGCGCAACAGAGTTTAAGAATGCCGTGCGAGACGTTTTATACAGAGATTGGAATGAAATAGGTCGAAATGGTTGCACTCTTCAACAACTCGAATTCGCTCATATGGTGTTAGATTGTCACATTAGCAACAAAAGTCGGCCTGCACGCACGGCAGCAGCAAGCAAGGAAATGCGAAGGATAGAAGAAGCCATCGTGACAACTTGCAAGACCGGTATCGGAAAAGTGATTATAAATTTAATCTCTCTCGATCGAAATAAAACCGTTGTGCAGAGTTCTAGGAATATTTGGGAACGACAATTTGCTGGCAGAAAGAATGCAAAAGATGAGGTCGTTCAAATGAAGAATGATCATAGATTTTTGGAATTTTTGAAGATATTGACGAGGTGATTGCTGAGGAGAGGCCTTCGAAGGTTTGTGACATCAGTATTTTATAGTTTTCGTACAGTACTTTGGTTTGGTATACAGCAAAGTGGTGGTGAAGAGGTCGTGAGACTTGAATATGATATCGTGGATTATTGTATGTGTGTGTGTATGTATGTGTGTATGTGTATGTTTGTGTGTGTGTGTGTGTGTGTGTGTGTGTATGTATGTGTGTATGTGTATGTTTGTGTGTGTGTGTATGTGTGTGTGAGAGAGAGAGAGAAAGAGAGAGAGAGAGAGAGAGAGAGAGAGA